GGCAAGGGGAGGTGTGGGGGACCTCCCTGTGTGGCCCTGGGGTCAGCGCCTGCCGGGCTGTCCGGGCGAGGCCTCCCCTCCTGCCTGTGCCTGAGCAGCAGAGGTCAGGGACGTGGGAGAACATCCTTCAGTCTGGAGGGGAAAACCCCCCAACCAGCCCTCCTCTGCCAGTAGAACAGGATCCAGCGTCCCTTTGAGTTCAGTGCCCTGAGAGGGCAGCTTCTGCAGGAGGATGTGGTTCAGAGAGAGGTGGGGAGCGTGAGGATGGGGAGCGGGTCTCTGCTTGGGGTCGCTCCCTTTGTCAGTGTGGGAAGGGAAGTCTTGGGGCTGAAACCGTGTGAAAAGCCTGTCAAGAAAACTACCAGGCAACGTGTTCTTGCAGAGATCTCCCAGTAACCCTGATGTTCACTGTTTCACCGTTGAATCCTTGTACCAGTAAGGAGGGAGTGATGTGTACATGACGTATTTGTCCAAGAAAGCAAATTATTTATGTTCCCCTCTAGTGAGGAATTATGTGACCAGTTTTCAAGTGAGTGGCAGGAAGGAACAGCAGCGTGTTTTGGTGACAGGACTAGAAAAAAATGTCACCAGGGTTATTTCTTTCATATCTGGTATTAACTTTTAGGTGTAACGAACCCCCAGGTCGTGGCTGCACAGTCTGCAAATCCTCTGTTCCTAACTGAAACGAGTGGGAATTTTCAGTAGAAAAACTGCAGAGCTGTGCAAGGCCTTTCCTTCCTCTGGCTCCCTCTTCTTGGAGAAGGCAGGAGCTTTGCCTCTGGCTGCTGAAGGATGTTATTTTTCAAAACTGAGGTTGGAATCTGTCTCTGTCCTCTTATCTGCACCTCACTGGAGGAGGTGGATGCTGTTCCTCAGTAATGAGGTGGCAATGCTGGCAGGGGAGTTCATTGAAGAAATATCATCTATTTTCACTGGTAAAAAGAATCTGATTTTTCTTTAAGATGCTAAACATGACTCTGGCTAAAGGTAAAGTCCATTTACATAGTCTGTTTTGGATTAGTGCTTTTTTTTCTTGAATCCTGTGCTGACTGAGGGTCTTACTGTATAAAAGTTGTCAAATTCTGTCATTTCTCTGTGTTTGTTGTTAGAGATCATGGCACCAGAACCAGCAACTTCTATCATCGACAGGGCAGTCAAGATGAGGAAGGAGATGGAAGCCCAGAAAGGGCTCTTGGCCTGGGCACTCCTTAATGTGTCTCTTGCAGGCATGATATATACTGAAATGTGTGTTAATTGTCACACCTGAGTCAAACAAGCAAAGCCTCCTTCATGTCTCCCTAAATATTTTCTGGGACTGAGTAGTTGCAAAATGCTAACTTCTTTTTTTTCTTTTCAGGTCTGGAAATCTCATCAGCTCCTATTACAACACCGCCTGCTGGCCACTCTGATATCTTGGTGAGTTGCTGCATCATTTAAATTAGTTTTCAAGGTTCTTTTCTTTTTTTTTCACTTGTCAGTTTGATTGCTGGAGAGGCAGTCTTTAAACTAGCTTTTTTTAAAAAAAAAAAAAGCATTTTTTTTGTTTGTTTTAAATGTAAACCAAAGATATAGTTTGCTTTCTGCTGTCTCCCTTGAAACTTGGAATTTCATCCATATTAGTGACAGGTAAGGAGTGTTAACAGCTTTCTTAGATAGGAAGAATTTACTTGGTGCATTAAATCTGTTGACTGTGTAGAGGAAGGCTTTGAGGAACACGGCTTTCCTGCTCTGTTGTACCGTGGGCATGAATGGCATTTCACAAGAATTCAAGTTTGTTTTGGAGGAGCAGACTCTAAGCCAGCTGTATCAAATATGATTAGAGGATAAAGCAAGAGGAGGAGAAAAATCATGAGATGAGTTACAGATGAATTGGCAGAAGATGGTTTTTGAGAAATACTGTGAAACTCCATTGTAGTAGATTTGGAAAACAACTGTCCATCTTTAAAAATTCAATTTTAGCAGTGTCAATCTCAGTACAGAAAGGAAAATTATCTCCCAATGGTTCTGGAATAAAAAGATGAAGAAATCTTGGCTATTGCCCAAATTGGTAATTACTGACAGCACTAATAATTAGACCTGGTTTTAATGGGCATATGCCAGTTTTTGCAAACAAGACACTTTGGTTATTCCCCGTGCTCAAGCTACAGTAAATACTTCTCAGTTTCTTCTAGAACTCGCACTTGCATCTCTGTTCAGCCTGAACGCTGCCTTTGGTTTCTGGGTGTGCTTCAAATACATGGTGGCACCGACCAGCCTGGTCGTGAGTCCCTGCCAGCAGAGCCTGCTGGGGTTGCAGAATGCAGGTGGGTGCAGTTAACATCTCTGGCAATTCTTTTTTAATTCTTTTGTTTTGTTTCAAGATGGTGTCTCTCAAAAGGGCAGGATTCTCTAGCGAAGCGAGTTCTGAATCGCCTCCTCTGACAGGAGCAGTAAACTGAATTACCCTCAGCGTATTACAATTCACCACGTCAAGTGACAATTTGATGAGTGTTTGTTGGAGAACTGGAGGGGAAACAAACACAGACGGTGGAAAAGGGCAGGATGAGAGTGGCTGCTGAAGGACAGGGAGGGACTTGAACACTGTGAGGTTGGGCAAGGAGTTTTTCCTGTCAGTGACTTGACTGACGAGTTCTGTAGGGGCCAGTTTTTTCTAGCATCCCTTCTGGAATCTCTTCTAAATTGCCTTAAGATAGCGTTGTGTGTGTGTCTAAAGCGGGGAGGAGAGTTTGGGGCTGCTGCATCCGCGATGCTCATTCTGCTTTTCCTTCCCGCAGCAGTACAAACAACTCCACCACGTGAGCTGGCGGCACCTTCTCCTCCGCCCCAGGGCCAAAGTGTGCTGAGTTACAGCCCGTCCTGCCGCCCTGCGCCTGCCCACAGTTTGGTACCCATTGTGTCCCGGGGTACAGCCCCAAGGACGGGCTCTGTAAAGCAGCAGCGCTTCTTACGTCAATGCTGGAACCTATTCCCCGAGCAGCAGCTGCACTCAGGTAAGGACCAGGACAGCTCCCCAGGGTGCAGTTTGGGTCTTTGGTGCCCTGTGCCGCTGAAGGGGAGCGGTAGCCACCTGAGAGTTGTCTATATGTGTGTTTGCTCCTTTTGCAAAGAGGATCTAAATTTGTCATATTGGGATTTGTCCTTCTTCCCTAGTGCCACTTCCTCGGTTTAGAGCAGCTGGTTTGTTTCAGAACAAAGCAAAGCCAAGCAATCAAAATGTAAGTGCAGAGGAGACCAAAAAGACCCAACCCAGACCCCAAATGAGAGTCTTTTATATTCATGTTGTTTAGAAATCAAGGTGGAATTCTGTCTTCCTTCTATGGCACAACCATTTGTTTTCCTTTGCCCAAGGTTTCCAGCTCCTCTCCCAGAAGGTCACCGTCCCCCCTAGCGCTGGGCCACTGGAAGGCGGCGGGGTTAAGGTCTCATTGCGGCTCTTCCCCGGCTCTGTGTAATTCTGCGGGTGCAGAGGAGTATGTGACGGACCTCAGGGCACTGCACGCCTTCCTTTGGAGAGAGGAACAGAAGCAGCAGATAGTCCAACTCGGTAAAAAACAAAGGGATTTGATGGGAAAAGCTTGTTCAGGAGAAGGGGGTGGGTTTATTGGAAATTGGCTTTCATGGATCAGAAAAGTCCCAAAGGATTCCAGTGCAGCCGTACTAGGAGATAGACCTGATTCGTTTATGGTGATCGCCTGTGACTGGGTAAAGGTGGCTGCTGACTAGTGGAGTCTTCTACTGAGTGGTTCGGATGTGAGGTGGGACACTGTCATTTCTACCTGTCTCCATGGCTTAGGACCTCCAGAATGTTTTCCTCCAAAATTTTGCTGGGGATGGACTGGGAACGTGTGCTGAGAGATTGTCTCTGTGGCACCTGTTGGCTATAGTGGCCTGCGATAAGCTGCTGGGCTCTGTTGCTGTGTGATGAGAGGGATATCTTGTGGAGAAGGCGTTACAGATGTGGGGGTGAATTACCTGCAGGCAGTTTTTGTCCTGGATAGGGACGTTCGGGGTGCAGTCGGTGTTTCTGCAAACCAACATCAGTGTCCCTATTTGTGGCAGTTCGTGTCCGTGTGTCTGGCCAAAGCCTTCATATACTGACCTGCTGTGCCTGTGCTGTTACGTCGAGAACTTCTTGGCAATGACTGTACGTGAGTGTGTAATGAAGGAATCGTTTCGGGGTGTTTGGATTTCAGCTTTCCTTCCAGCAGCCCAGCTTTGGGGAACTGCAGCCGTTCCATCGCCGACTGCGCGCAGGTGCTGAGAAAGTTCCAGTACCACCTGGCCTGCAGGCCCTGGGCCCCATCACCACACAATGATGGACCTGACCTGTGCTTGATACGGGCTGCAGAAGAGGTAAATTCCACAGCAAAAGTGGTCAAGGGAGAGAAACAGGTCTGTAAAGTACGCAGCTTTGTGCAGAGGTTTGGATTCGAGCTGCATCAGGAATGTGAGAGAGAGAAATCCTCTAACGCTGAGCTGTCTTCATCCAGCTTGCGAAGCTCCTGGTCACTGTAAATGGCCATTGCAAACTCTGAATTGTAGTGGGAAAATGGATTTCTCCCTTGGAGAGCAAGGCTCACACTGGGTAAAATACATTTCTTATCTAAAACTGGAGTTGGAAGGGATTTGTATTTAACCCTGTGGAAGAGCTGAAGGATATAAAGCATAAAGCCTTTACCCTGGCGTCTGAAAGAAGTCTGATGCCAAGGAATGCTATTCCCGTGGCCTCAGTGAAATGGGATCGATTATTTCCTACGTTACCCTGATGAAACTGCCCATTCAGGTACCTCTTCCATCAAGGCTGCAGTTCAGAGCAATTTTATCCTCATAGAGCAGAGAGCTTCAGACTGACTTTGGGCTCATGGCGGGTGGCTGTAGCGTGACTGGAGAGTGAGCGCATCCTCCGTGAAGCTGCGGTAGGAGTCCCGTGATCCAGCCAGCAGGTGCATAAGAATTTGGGGAAAAATGCAGTTGGAATTATGTAGTTAGTGTCAGAAACTGTCACAGACCCTAAAAACTCTTGGTATTCTCTGAAGTTCTCACACGTAGTTAATGAGCCTTTCTATAGGTCTGGGCACAGGGGACGATGCAGCGCCACCTCCTTGGCCACGTGGATTCCTGGACCACGAAGGTCAGAAACGTCAGTCCCGTATGGGGCCGAGACGTCCCGTCTCCATGACGAGGTTTGGTTTTCCTTGCTGGAACTCAGATTGCTAAATTGGTGTTTCTGCAGTATTTCTAGCCCACTCTCCTGAGCTCAAAGCGTGGAAAATTCCAACCCAAAGGCTGTTTTTCTTTCTGACTGTCCTGAGCAGCATAATAAAGCAAAAGGAAAAACCTTAGTCTTAGTTAGCAATAGCCCTTGCTGGAGCAGGGCAGAGTGAATTGCACATGGTGGCAAAACAGTCAGTCGAGCTTTGGATTGCCCCTTCACTCACAGAATCTTATTGGGTCTAAAGTTTTGCTTATGGGTTTTGTGTGGGTTTTTGGGGATTTGGTTTTAAATAAGGGTGGTGAAAAGCAAAGATGAGTATGAGATCCGTGCCAGACTGCGGAGTATCTGTTCCTAAACCCAGGGCCAGCAGGCATCAGTTCCCAGCTCCTGTCGCATACAAATCCCACACGGAGTGTTTATCAGCTTCTTGATTTCCCCAGACAAATGTGAAAGGGAGTGGCCTCATCAAAGTATAAATTCCCTTTATGGTGGAGGGCTGTGCTTTATCATACCCCTTTCCTCATGGTTCAGAAAAGCTTCAGAAAGCAAAGCTTTACCTGATACTTTCTAGAGATGTGTTTTCCTGACTCCTTTATTTGAATTTTCTGATCATTTAGTCCTCTAGTCTTTTAGATCTTTTAGTCCATTTCTATACTGAATTTTCTGGTCTTTTAGAAAGTACTAGAGAGTCACTGAAACTCCACCTGACTTGATACTCTAATTTAATTCCTTTTGTCCTTGGCTGGCTTCAGTATTTCTGTTGTTTAAGCTCCTTTGTGATTGTAACAGTGATGCTGGAGGTGAAGGAGGAGGCCGCCAAATTGAGGGGGTCAAGGTTGCCAGAAGCACCTCTGGGGAGCTCAGGAGCAGGCAGCTGCCCTGTGTCAGACGTCAAGCGAGGGGGCAGAAGGGGCTTGGCTGAGCAGGGACCTGCTCACTGAGCTGCAGAGGAAAAGGAATCGCATCGTCTCTGCGAGCAAGGTCAGGCTTGGCAGGAAGGGGCAGAGCCATGGCTCGCACACGCAGGGAGGAGAGAGGAGAGGCCAAAGCTCAGTTAGATTTGGGAGCGGCCAGTGATGTGTCTGACAAGAAGTGATTTTTAAGTAGGACTGTAGCCAGAGGAGCTCTGAAGAAAACATCAGAGTGAGACTTGAGGATGGTCACCTGACAGAGAGGTGTGGGGGAGACATCGGCCTGTCAGCTCTGTGCAGCCCCTGAGCAGCAGCAAGGCTTTGATGAGAAACAAGCCTTGGGAGAAAGATCAGAAACTGCTGAGTTGTGCCTAGGTGTCAGGGAAAAACAAGGGACAACTGCAACCCCAAGCTGTGGGACAGTCCTGAACTGTGAGGAGTTCCCACCGTGGGAACTGCAGCTGAGCGAGCAGGGGATTGGTCTGCACAGCGTGTGAGAGTGGTCTAGTGCCGGTAGGAGAGAAGGTTGAGAGCTGCCTAATTGCTGATTTGCTAATTGTGAAGTAAGAGATTTAGCAAGAGCATAAGTATGTGCTGTTGTAAGAATAAAGGGTCTTTCCTTCTGCACCTCAATGGAGAGTCCGTGCCTCAGTTGCCACACATGGGAGGTTTGACTGAGTAGGGCCAGCCTGCTTGGCAGATCCTCTGGGACTCACGGACCAGGTGGCTTTTGCTAAATGCACAACCCAGTGTTTGAAAGTTCTACCCCCCAGTTCTCTCAGTGCAGTTTCAGCAATCCATTATACTGCTCCATTTTCCCAGAGGCTGGTGCAGGATTGGGGATGTGATACACCCCCTCAGTGCCACGTTCTTTGGCCCAAGCGTCTGTGAGGCTGTTTTCGAAATGAGTCCCTTTATCTGATTCAGTCCTTTTTGGGGTGCCATGTCACCACAAGACTTGCTTCTCAAGACCTAAAATATTGTTCCAGGCAGTGGCATGAAGCACGGCATAAGTTTCCAACCAACCAGTGGCTGCTTCCACCATTGTAAGCACATAGGGTTTGTCATGCTGAGTTTGTGGGAGTGTGATATAATCAATCTGCCAGGCCTCCTCATATTTATATTTTAACCATTGTCCCCTGTACCAAAGGGGATTTAACTGTTTGCTTGCTTGATGTCAGCACACGTCTCACATTCATGGATCACCTGTGCAATAACATCCATGGTTAAGTCCACCCCTCGGTCACTTGCCCATCTCTGTGTTCCATCTCTGCCCTAATGGCCTGAGGAGTCAAGGGCCCAGCGAGCCAGAAATCGTTCACCCTTATGCTGCCAGTCCAGATCCACTCGAGCCACCATAATCTTAATCCACCTGTTGGTTGTTCTGATGTTCTTCAGTGTCCTGACTCTCGGGTACGTGAGCACCTACACGCTGTACTTTCATGGCCAGGTTCTCTACCCCAGCAGCAGTACCTCGCCCTCACTCAGCAGCCCAGACGGGTTTGTCTCTGCGCTGCCTGTGGCTCCGTTCCCACTGCTGTAACCACCCCCACAGCGCATTTGCCACCCCCCATGAGTCAGTACAGAGACAGAGCACTGGCCACCTTTCTCGCTCGACGGTAGCCAAGGCCAGCTGGATGGCTTTCACCTCTGCACACTGACTCGGGAGGCACGGACCAGGCCCCAGCACGTTGCAGTGAGCTGTGTCTCTCTGCAATTACTCAGGTGACACCATACCTTTTCCAAATATTTGACTAGTTTTTCGGGATTCTGCACCTGTTTGGGAGTGAAGTTCCAATGCACCGGAGGTGCCCGCTGTACTGGGCACTTGCCCGTGCTGTCCCACACCCTCAACCACTCATAATTCTCCAGCCTTGGGGTAGATCTCCGGGTGATGGTCTTAAATAGTTGCTTAACCCTGAACAAAGCCTGAACCACGTGTGGGAACATGCTGGCTCCCAGCAGTAAGACGACCACGTTAGTTGGATATTCAAAATTCCCCAAATTCTCAAACGCAGTTGTAAGTAGCCTCAGGACTGACAACTTCATTGTGCCATTGATCAGTGTTACACAGTTCAGCAAAATGAAAATCTTAACCTGTGTGAGTTAGGGTCCGGTGCTCGGAAGATATCGCGTTGTACAGGAAGATAAAATGTGAGCAGACAGATGTGACGACATAAACCCTGGGTATAAAAAGCAGTGTTATACAATAATAAACGCCATTTGCCGTCCATCACATTGATGTCTGCATGCAGTTGGACCGAGCGGCCTGGGGTTGGCTGCCGTGTTGTTTTTCCCTGAGCCAGGTCATTAAGCATCATTAGGCAACAAATGGTGCCGAAACCCGGGAAGTGGGAAACGGCTTGCTAGGGAAGACGCCCGGTGTTCCACTGCTGTAGGGAGGACGCTCCCAGGACCAACAAGGAGGAGAGAATATGAGTTCTCAGGACCAATAAGGAGGGGGAACATCCTTGTGAAGGTCGCCTTGTGAAGGTCGGATTGCAGTTCCCAAGGACCCGGAAGG